GTTTCTAGACATTTAAAAGCTGTTTTTGTTTGACAATTTCCGCCTTCTAAAGTCTTTAACAGTTTAAGTCTTTGACAGTCATTCTACGAGCTGGTTACTCAACCCCTCCCTGCTACGAGTCCCTGATACTAGGGTAAGCTCGGCTTAAAGTTTTTAACAGTCCTTATAATAAGCTAGTTCTATTTGGCTTTATCAGCCAAATACGAGCTAGTTCTATTCGGCTTTATTAACCAAATGCCCTCCCCCGGCAAATGGCCTTTTGTTTGATAGTTCTTACCACAGAAAACCTTGCACAATACTGATGACATCTCTAACAGACGTTGCAATTGATTTCGTTGCCATTATTTTCTTTGAAGACACCTTGGACAGAACATGTAATTATTACACATCTGGTCCTGCATTACAATTACAAGTTCAACCATTCTAATAATACATCTTTAAGCTGAATACTTTTACTTCTACTTTTTTTCTCCATAAATGTGCTGTTGACATTTACCTTGCCACAACAGACCACTATCACACGCATTGAGCAATCAAGGTAGGTCCAACTTGCATACTTAGCACTAACATCACCACTTTTAGCCCGCCAATCAACTGTTTGACAACAACATAGTATTATAGTAGTAGCAACATATCGGAGCTTAGTTTCCCGACCGTTTAGAATTAACTGTTATTGTGAGTACTATCTTATAACAGATGTGGATACTGGCGGGGAGGTGATACACATTTGTTTACGTTTTAAGTGGCGCCTCTATTCAGCAGGTTGAAGAGGTGATACATATAAAATAACCGAGAAATCGACCTTCGTATTAACTCAATTTGATGACTGTTTCTGACCTAAAATTGCACGAAAATCCACAATCCACATCTATACTCAGCAATAATAATAATACTTTGCACCAGTCATAATTCATTGCAGGTAATATTCTACAAGTCTGTATTAAACGTCTATATCAAATACAGAAAAGGATTAGACAGTATTTGTATGTAGTAAGTATGGTCTATGGTCTATATGTTGAACCTACTTGACAAAATGCTTGCGGAGTAAAATGGCCGCCGCGTTCTTATTATTAATTAACACGGCATTAGTCTACCCGTCAAACTATTTGCCCTGGTATGTAGTAACCATGGTAACCTGGTATGTAGTAACCATGGTAACCTGGTATGTAGTAATCATGGTAACCTGGTATGTAGTAATCATGGTAACCTGGTATGTAGTAATCATGGTAACCTGGTATGTAGTAATCATGGTAACCTGGTATGTATTAATCATGGTAACCTGGTATGTTTTCGTCAATTAGACCCTGAATTGTCCGAATCAGCAATAGGCCCTAACAGAATTATTCGAATTAAGCACGGGAGCTGGAGACGGGCTGCAGACTTGAGAATATATATACAGCATTCTAATACTCCAGACCTGTTAATTAGCTATTTAGATTTAGAACAAAATGCTGCTGTTCGAACTATTTCTACTTCTTTATGATTAAAGTCCATGTAGAACAATGCTACCTTACGAGACATATTTAATAATTATACGAGACATATTTAATATTTATACGAGACATAAATGATTTGGGAACGAAAATATGGGAATTTTTACCGAAAACCGCCACATTTCGTACCCCAAATTAAATCATGGTATTTGGGGATTTTTTTTATCTCCTTATTTTACAAAAATGAAACCCAATATTTGAGAAAATTAGATACAAAGATCTTCTCTGGTCAGCTGTTAGCCTCAACTTAACCTATAATCCCCCAGATGGTATAGGAGACCGACAGTATTCCACTGCACTAATCCCAAAATTTCACCGACATGGTCAATAAAGTAGTGACAGAGCTTGCTTATTTTTAATTGAACGTGTCCAAAATCATATTTTAAGCAAAACAATTCATGATCGAATACTAGTGTTCATTAATTGTTTGATGAATCATATTTATAACTTACTATACTGATAAGTTGATAGTAAATCGATAAAGTCATAAATAAGTAAAATACGTGAAAAATAATTTGGGGAAAACAATAATGGTGACCTAAATTTTGTTAGTCCGAAAATATATATATATATTAACACCAACTTTCGTACCATTTAAATATGTCTCGTAAGTTATACTAATAGTTAGGATTAATTCTGCTACTCTCTGATAGTGCAGGAATGTCACTATACGGAACAATGTCCACACTGTTTACCGTTAGAGATATTCAAGTTATCGGACAGCAACAATGCCAAAACTTAAAGGAACATAGTGCTTATTCTTTTAACGTGTCAGCACTAAGTGCTAACGCGCATAGCGTTCATTCTTTCAATTCCAATACTAATTCGATTTCGATTAGCGTTAATTAACCGTGCTTTATTTTGTGGGTGCTTTCTAGATTGTTCACATTCTTGCTTTAAGTTCAAATGTTCTGATTAGGCTATAGCAGTGTTTTTAAATAAGACGTATTTTCAAATTACTTTATTACACAAACCTTCCGTACGACATACTTTTAAAAATACAGAAAACTAATTCGGGGATATCCCCAGGCTCAAATTTAGTATATAATTTATTATTTTAAATTGTGTTACGAGCTTGATGGCCGAACGGCGAAGGCTGGCGCCTAATCAACGGATGACCCGATGTGTTTCTTATTTTTAAGGCCTGAAGATGGCGTTGACGCCGAAAATTTGCCTAAATTCATAAATTCCTGTTTCATTTGTCCTTATCTCTTTCAACCGGTTACTTTAATTATTTTGTCGACGTTAGCTTCGCTGAATTAATATTAAAACAAAAGTTGTTCGAAACTATGAATAAATTACCTTCTCCCGTCCTTTATTCATTTATTACAATTCCTGTCTATACCAGGTATCTCTATTATAATTCGAGATTTTCTTTCTGTATTTCTGTCCACGTGCAAATTGAGTGAGAATACGCGTGTTACGTGCAGTAGGTATATGACGTGTTATGTTGAATAATCACTCATCACTGTCTTTCTGGTTGTTGACTATGGTGTTTTTAAGTGTTATTGTCCTCGTATCCTAACGTATTATATTGTGTTTGACTTATCTTCTGCCCTTGTGATGACATATTTAGTGTTTAATTAACCTTTTCACTTCTTTTCATCACTAATACCACCACTCCAGTAGCAAGTACCTGCTCTGAGTGCACGTGGTGCCCAAACTGACCATATAAGGAGCGTTTTACCCGGCCCCTTGAAGATGGTAACCTCAGAGTGTGACGAGAGGAATGACGCTACAATCTGTTACTCCACCACAGCAGATACCCTCATCAGCGCCCTCCTCGTTATCATTGTTATAGTGGGGGTTCCTGCTAACATCTTCTCCTGTTACCTCTTCTTCAAACAGCGCTCTAAGAACTGCACCGCTGGTTGCTATAACAACGCGCTCTTCTTCCGGCGCATATACATAGTGATAACAGCAGTGGACACAGTTAGTTGTGCTGCACTTTTTCCTGTCATACAAGCTCTACTGACTGGTAGGAGCAGTGACATGTTGTTATTCAGAGAGACAGTGTTCTGTACTGGTTGGTATATTGTGTGGATTATAGTCCAGCAGGAGACCCTCTTCTTGGTAGCCCTCCTCAGTCTGTCAAGGTTGTATCTGCTGAAATATCCTCTCAAGAAGCTGTATGCTCCTCTAGCGGGGCTGGCCCCTCTGGTTTATGCTGCGTTGGTAGTGTTAGCACTGTGTGTGTTACCGTTAGCTAGCAGCTACACCTCTGTTATCTACAGGAAGGAGCTAGCCATGTGTTGGCTTACTGACCAGCAGCGTTTAGACACTTTACCAACAGCCACAACCTCGCCTACTCAAGGTGCAACTACTCAATCTACATTCTTCATTTCTCCCCATCCAGAAGATATTGAATTCATGAGAAAAATGCTGATAAAAACATTAGTAGAGTCCTTCTTCTTCGGGCTGCCAGTAATGCCTATCCTGCTATCCCTAGTGTTCTCCTTATACTTCCTGACACGGGAGATAAACCACCAGCAGGATAACCACAAGGATAGACTAGTAGAAGCAGCGAGAACAGTTATCTTAGTCACGTTTGTGTACGTACTCTTCAACCTGCCCACCCTCGCTAAGGGCATCTACCTGACATACTTGTACGGTAGATCCTACTATCTCCTAGACACCCGGGACACGTACGAGGAGTTCTACCACTTCTCGATCAGCACGTACAACAGCTACGGTCGCTACGGGTGGGACTATATCTGGATGAGTGTGTACATCCTTCTCCCTGTTTGCAAGAGTGCTATAGGACCCGCCCTCTACTTCTGGAGGATAAAGACCTTCAGAAGGTCCATTATAAAGATAACAATAGATACCGTGCACAGCGGTCAGGGACCTGGGTATCGGGTTCTCACGCTCAAGGCAGGCAAACATATCAGGAGGGTAGACTCCTCTAGACACATTTTAAACCGGAAATTTGTCAGAAATTTGTGAAGATTTTTGAGGGAGGGAGTTGTACAACTGTTTTTTCGACATCTGATCTTTTTTATTTGTTGATTCACAAATTGTACACCTTTCGGCCAGACTGTAAAATGTTTTCTTTGTTTGCGTTCGGTATCATTTTATTTAATACGATTACTTACCAAAACAGCGATTTTTTGTTAACACAATAATTGTTCTGAAATACAAGCTGTCAAAACAGATGCGACCTCGAATATTCTTATATATTTTTGCCTACATTCTTACGACACGAACATGGAAAATGACGATAGTTCAACTAGGGTTGTTGTAGCAACAATGGTTGTTATAGCAACCCTAGCTCTAGGGTTGTTATAGCAACTAGGGTTGTTAAAGCAAGCTTTACGTGACGTTCCAAGGGAAGTAAATCGACGTAAGATAAATATAACGAACAGTGAGCAACATTATAATAAACCCCACACTAGTTGCAATAAAAACTCTGCTAGTTGCTATAAAAACTCTACTAGTTTCTATAACAACTCTACTAGTTGCTATAAAAACTCTATTAGTTGCAATAACAACCAGTTATATCTCCAGGGCTCGAGTAACTCTGGTAGGAACCAACTCAATGCTGATAAAGGTGGAAATACACACCAGTCTCAAGTTCACTGGGACGCTCGCCTTCGTCTTCGAAGGTTAGTTAGTGTAGTTAGTGTAGTTAGTGTAGTTAGTGTAGTTAGTGTAGTTAATGTAGTTAGTGTAGTTAGTGTAGTTAGTTTAGTTAATGTAGTTAATGTAGTTAGTGTAGTTAGTAAGTGTAGTTAGTGTAGTTAGTGTAGTTAGTGTAGTTAGTGTAGTTAGTAAGTGTAGTTAGTGTAGTGTAGTTGTAGTTAGTGTAGTTAGTGTAGTTAGTTAGTGTAGTTAGTGTAGTTAGTGTAGTTTAGTGTAGTTAGTTAGTGTAGTTAGTGTAGTTAGTGTAGTTAGTGTAGTTAGTGTAGTTAGTGTAGTTAGTTAGTGTAGATAAACTACCCTTCATTCCAGTCTATTTTGGTGGGTATAAACGTAACCTCAACCTTAATTGTTCTATAATTTGATAATACCCCTATCTGGTTTCAGATAGAGGTATCTGTTGTTATTGTTGTTGTAATTAACTAATGATTACAGATAGAGGTACCTGTTGTTGTTGTTATTGTTGTTGTATTTAACTAATTATTACAGATGGTGTCTACCTCCTGGTCCCCGAGGTTACCGGGAGCTCGGACATTACTAACGCTAAGTTCACGATGGGCGGAAGTGCAACAATGCAGGTAATCTGACTGAACACGTGATAACCCACTTAATGATTCATAATACCATAATACCTTCTATTTGGGGGCTGCGCGGGACGGCGCGATAATGCCCGAAACTATAATTTCTGTCCGCTGTATGTCAGGCTACTTAATCTTCAGGCGGTCTATTCTCTTTTACGAAAACTTAACCTTGCGACTTATCTTAATGCAGTTGTTATTACCATTATAGGTACCGGAACCCATAGTTCAAGAGGTGGAGAGACAGCTGGACGAGATGCTTGGAGAAATGTTGCCAGGTTAGTCTTTAATATACAGGGGAGGGGGGGGGGGCAAAGTCCTTTTAGATGATGAAAGAAATGTCCTTCTATTTTAAAAGAAAAGATCCTTTCACAACATCTCTATGAAATACTGTAAACTTGGTTTTCTTGGATGTGTTTCTAAATAAAATACGACTCACTCAAATACCAGTCTTAGGCACTTAACAACCCCCCCCCCCCCCCCCCCCCTAACACCACACAAACCCCCCTCAGCGTTGATCAGGGAGGAGCTGAAGACAGGCTACCCTCTGAACATCCCGGACAACTTGCTCATCAACGACGCAACAATACAGTACAAGGAGGACTACATCCTCATTACTGCTGACGACGTAGTGGTCAACCTCTAAACAGAGCGCTCCTTATATGGGCATCACGTTATATATTATATTCACGGCACTAAGCAGCCCAGATCAAGGACTGTAACTATTTTATTATCAATGATAATATTATTAAAGGGAATAAATTTGAAGCGTAAACGTTTGCACTAAAAAAGACAAGGGACCGTAGGTTATGTTGCTGATCGACAATTTTTCATGTACCAAAATTTGCATTATCTAACGAACTATTATATAATCTAGGTAAACTATAGGTAAAAATATAATATTAATCATAAGCTAAAATGTACTAATCTTTGTATTCTAAATGGGGAAAAGAAGAAACATTGTCAGTCAGTCGAGAAAATTGTCAGTCAGGCTATATGGCAGCTTTGTAGATGTTGTGACTATGCTAGTAGTGGTCCCAGGCTTGCGACTGGAATTGCGGTGTTAAATCGATTTAATTTTAAACTAGTATTAACGGAACTAGTATTACTCAGATGGTGGTTTAATGAACCTGCAAATTTTATTATTTATATTTATAAATTCTAAAACTCTAAAACGTATAGTATTTATAAAGTTAAAAGCTTCTACAATTCGAAATTATCATGTTTAGTTTTTTATTATTATTTTTGATTTCCATTGCAAAGAGCTTAATATCAATGGTTGTGTTTTAATTTACCAGCTTATTGAGAAAAAAAAACAATATACAATAACAAACTTGAAAGTGGAAACGAACTAGAAACTAGAAGCTTGAAATAAGTAGAAACACTTATATTATACACACTAGTATACTACACTACTATTATAGAACAACAAGTCTTACTAGTTTGGGAGATGTCTCTGCCGTACTCAGGCTTGAAGAATCCCTCCTTTTCCCACCAAGAGTACCATGCTGCTTCCACGTAACCAGGACTGTAACTAGCGGGCATGTCACCTGGAACACGTGACACGTGACATTGTGTATACTGGAACACGTGACAGTGTGTACAATATGTATACTGGAACACGTGACACGTGACATCGTGTACAATATGGAACAGGCAGTCTTATACTGTGTAGTCAGTAGTGTGTTATACTAAATGTGTTCTTCAAGTAACCAATAAATATGGCTTATACTGTGTAGTATAAGATAATATGGTGGCCTACCTATGAAAACTTTAGAAGGACAACTAGTCAGACGTTGTTGGTACACATAATGCCACATAATGCCATATAATGACACATAATGCCACATAATGCCATATAATGCCACATGATTATCTCAACCCTGACCGTCCTCTTTCTCAACAAGACTAAGTTGCAATTTATTCACTGAACACCACTGTCCTATCAATTATTACTAATAATTACTAATTATTACTAATAATTATTGCTAACCAGAGACGTTCTTCTTCTCCCCCTCAGCGTGGTCGAAGGTGTAGGTTGTCACAACTGGTTTACCGCTCTTCACTGGTTTCTTCTTGGCATCTTTAGGCTTCTCCGCCTGAAGACAGTTTTATATTAGTGCTTTATTGAGTATTAAACATTGATTTCATAAAGTGAAACTCCTGCTCTAAAAGTTCCTGCTTGAATACTAAATTGTACCTGGGCGGCTGCCTTTGCTTTCAGGGTCTCTTGTTTCTTCTGGAACTTCTCCAATTTAGCCTGTCTGGCTGCTTCTTTCTTCAGCTGAGCCGGCGTTTTTATCACGTTACCTGGCAACAGGAGAAGTGAGACCCTTGTGATTTACAATCAGTCATCTTAGTAAAGAAGCCAATGAGTGCAAGTTTAAGAGTCTTACCTTCAGACATGAGTGTTGGTTGCTTAGCAACACTAAGAGTCTTACCTTCAGACATGAGTGTTGGTTGCTTAGCAACACTAAGAGTCTTACCTTCAGACATGAGTGTTGGTTGCTTAGCAACACTAAGAGTCTTACCTTCAGACATGAGTGTTGGTTGCTTAGCAACACTAAGAGTCTTACCTTCAGACATGAGTGTTGGTTGCTTAGCAACACTAAGAGTCTTACCTTCAGACATGAGTGTTGGTTGCTTAGCAACACTAAGAGTCTTACCTTCAGACATGAGTGTTGGTTGCTTAGCAACACTAAGAGTCTTACCTTCAGACATGAGTGTTGGTTGCTTAGCAACACTAAGAGTCTTACCTTCAGACATGAGTGTTGGTTGCTTAGCAACACTAAGAGTCTTACCTTCAGACATGAGTGTAGGTTGCTTAGCAACACTAAGAGTCTTACCTTCAGACATGAGTGTTGGTCGCTTAGCAACACTAACAGTCTTACCTTCAGACATGAGTGTAGGTTGCTTAGCAACACTAAGAGTCTTACCTTCAGACATGAGTGTAGGTTGCTTAGCAACACTAAGAGTCTTACCTTCAGACATGAGTGTAGGTTGCTTAGCAACACTAAGAGTCTTACCTTCAGACATGAGTGTTGGTTGCTTAGCAACACTAAGAGTCTTACCTTCAGACATGAGTGTTGGTCGCTTAGCAACACTAAGAGTCTTACCTTCAGACATGAGTGTAGGTTGCTTAGCAACACTAAGAGTCTTACCTTCAGACATGAGTGTTGGTTGCTTAGCAACACTAAGAGTCTTACCTTCAGACATGAGTGTAGGTTGCTTAGCAACACTAAGAGTCTTACCTTCAGACATGAGTGTAGGTTGCTTAGCAACACTAAGAGTCTTACCTTCAGACATGAGTGTAGGTTGCTTAGCAACACTAAGAGTCTTACCTTCAGACATGAGTGTAGGTTGCTTAGCAACACTAAGAGTCTTACCTTCAGACATGAGTGTTGGTTGCTTAGCAACACTAAGAGTCTTACCTTCAGACATGAGTGTTGGTCGCTTAGCAACACTAAGAGTCTTACCTTCAGACATGAGTGTTGGTTGCTTAGCAACACTAAGAGTCTTACCTTCAGACATGAGTGTAGGTTGCTTAGCAACACTAAGAGTCTTACCTTCAGACATGAGTGTAGCTGTGCGATGTAAAGCTCTGGAGAGATGGAAAACTGCTCTGACTGTTCGGAACACAACTAAATCCTATCATATGATATCATGTGTTAGTGTTCAGTTAGTGTAGTTTTTATTGGTTATTAGTTGTCAGTTTTATTCTTAGTATTACAATCATTATTCAGTACAGTACCAGTACAGTAACAGTACAGTTCCAAGCAGGGGGAGTTACAGTAACAAGCAGAATTATATTGAAACTTCACAGACGCAAACAAGCAAACACTACTACTACTAGGATCTAGGTGCTACAGGTACTACCAGGTAGTACTATTATAGGTACTACTAGGTAGTATGCTAATATGGAAGTAACAAGCAAAGTATCCCAAACAACACTGAAACCTATGATTACCTAGTCAACAGTAAAACATTGAACCAAATTCGAATATGACTAAAAGTGAAACATACATAGTGTAAAAACTCCATAACATGATTAATCTAGATTCAACATATAAACGTCAACTAAAAACCATCGTCTAATAGAGCATTTCGAATATATAAAACACAGTTAAATAAAAAACCTTTAAAATAACAAATACTCCAATATAAACGGAACCACTAGTAGGGCTATAGTGCTGCCTATGCCCTTATATGGGCATCACGTGCCCTTCTACATGTAAAATCTAAACTACCTAATAAAACCACAATTAACAAACATAGAAACGGTAAACAGTAATTCAGAAAGGACCCGCCTCTTGACCAATGACTAGTATAGCTCGATCTGTGTATTTAAATTCTCAAATTATTTAAATGTAAAACCATTATGTGATGATACTTATCCATGATGGACAGAAAATAAAGATGGGATGACAGTCAGTTCGGTCTTTCTTAATTTATATAATATATTTATTAATTTATATAATATATTTGTTAATCTATTAATGAGAACTTAAAGAAATTAAGTTTATAAACGGTAATGTAAAATCAAAGTCGTGAATAAACTAGTGAAATCAATTTTAAGTATATTAAAAGGAGCATATCAGATCATGGGAAAGGGGATATGACTCATATTTTCAAATAATAACTAATGCTAATACATTTGGTGACTGTAAATGATAAAACTAGAATAACAAGGAACCGACTAAACACCATCCTGAGATCAAGCTATTTCTACTGACACCTGACTGGTACTGGTTGACACTCTACTCGTACTCGCTGTGTCTTCATCCTCCTCTTCCTCCTCTTCATCGTACTCATCAGACTCTGCGTGGGAATGTAATGTTGATATCGCTTTGTTGGATTACCAAAGAAAGCTACATCTAAACATATGTTTAGATGTATTTACATTTCTAATGCGCTCAAACAAACAAACTTGTTCCAAATTATATTATTAAATAATGCGGATGGCACAACACACAGTGGGCACACTGTGCAACACACCATTGAGGTACTGTAAATTTTATTGCCAAAGATAAACGGAAAATCATCACAATAGCAGAAATCATTTAGGAAGAATTTTTAATAGAAACTTTTCTGCCGTCTCCTTGACCGAAATTGCGCAGTTGGACTGAATTTTTGACCAGTGACCAATCAGTGAGGTCGGTGAGAGTGATACAAGTCGCCATCGAGGTACTGGAAGCAGCATATCCAGAGAAAACAATGATGCAACGAAAATTTGCAAATAGACATTTTCAAATTTCAGTTTTCCGCATCCCAAATTTCACTCAATGACCAATAAATCAGTGCACTGAAAATTCATGTTAAGATACTAAAAAAACGATAAGAAAAAGAAAAGGATGAATGTTACTTCACTCACGGTCTATTAAATCCCGCCTAGTCTGCAGTCTCCACTTGGAACGCTTCTCTACCGGGATGGCCAGGTAGTTATCCAACTGATCTGAAATTGATGTATTGTGAACTTAGAACTAGCTACTTAGGTTAGCTATATGTCAAGAGGACCGTCCCATACAGTGATTGGACCTATTCTCCCCTCCTTGTATCTGAGAACCACTCTCGCATTGTTAGAGCTATCTCCCACACCCTCCAATTCATGCTGCCTACAACTCATGCTGCCTCAACTCCCACACCCTCTAACTCATGCTGCCTCACGTAATGCTATTCAGCTGAATACTATTACAACACGTTACAAGCTGTCCCTGCTTAGAGAACACCGCCCCTGCTTAGTACATTATCTCCGGCTAGTGTAGAAGTAAGACAGGAGATCCCTGGCTTAATGTGCTTGTTCTCCTAGTAACCGGTTCTCTAGCTCCTACATTATGTATTATGTCTGTTATATGGTCATTGGTTTAGACCTCGCGTGAGAAGGATCAGTCTGTTGAACGTCTCATTCTTATCTTATCGTTGTTATTCATATGGGTCACTGCGTGTAGCTAGCTGTGCACTGTGTGTTAATCTCAGTACGTAGTTTTCTTTGGTTAGCCCGGGTTTTTTTAAAGCTTGGAATATTTGTTAGTATCTACTCTTTTAGATATCTAATAGCCAGGGCATTTTACTTCTAACATTAACATTAGAATATGGTATTTTAGCTAACTCTCTAGAATAAAGTTTGATGCAGAGTTTCCTAGTGATCGCCGCAACCCTTGTTCTCGGGTACAACGGTAAGAAAACCTATTGAGTAACGTTTGAGTTTGGATATTATTTAAACGTTCCTTCTTTACATGAAGCACATACAATATATTCATACATACCGTATTCAATATTCATACATATTCTACAGCTTAATTTAGAGCGGGTCTCCCAATACTGGAAGCTGTAATGTTCCCAGGGAGGATGTTCCAAGCAGGGCAGTATTACGTGCTCCACTTGGAGTGCTGGAAAGATCAGGATCCAGACAAGGCCATTGCTACTCTGGAGGGTACAAGTTCACTGACTGGAGACTATAAAACCAGAAACAATAAACTCTGGAAATGCCTTGTCGCTGCGCACAGTCTCGGTGAGTTACTATGGTTACTAGCAGGTTACTAGGTTACTGGAAATGCCTTGTCGCACAGTCTGGGTGAGTTACAATTAACAGGACGGACTCTTCACGTGCAAGACATCATACCGTATTTTATTATAGATAAGTAACTATGACAACATGTTATCTAGTAACTATGACAACATGTACCCAGGATACCGAGTATTTGTACTTCAAGATGGAGGCTGGTGTGGGAGTTCTGCTGAAGCCGCGCAAACCTTCAAGAAGTTCGGGGTTTCTGAAGATTGTGAACCTGACGGTCTAGGGGGGGTTCTAGCTAACCAAGTTCGCATGTTTGTCACGGAACCGAGTAAGTCAGATACTAGGTTACTATGGTTACTAGCAGGTTACTAGGTTACTATGGTTATTAGGTTACTATGGTTACTAGGAGGGATTCTAGCTAACCAAGTTCGCATGTTTGTCACGGAACCAAGTAAGTCAGATAGCTTCATTAAATTAGCAAAATAAGAAAGGGAACAACAACTTTATTTAATTAATATACACTTTGTGTTTCAACTTTTTAAAAAATAGAATATTACCTTATTTCTTGACAAAATGAGTAATTTGGGGCGCAAATGACCAACTAGTTCCTTCAGAACAGCATCAGCCACAATATTATCGAGTTTTTCAATGTTTCCAAATAATTTATAACGTCTCAGAAGAAGGAAACATAGCAGGAATCGGTAAAGTAAGTCAGTCCGGTGATAATGAGTTCGGTACAATAGCGGAGAATGCGGTCGATGGGAATACGGATGGCTTAGATCAAGGGTTTGATAGATATATTAACTACTAATACTAATACTAGTACTACGTATATTAATTGTATTCTTCTCATTTATTTATTACTGAAGTAATCGTTCTGACCAATTAAAGGGTAATTTTATTGTTTTAGTATCTCGCACATTAGTACAGTCAGTTATTAGACATTAACCCATGGACACTGGTAGATTAAGTAGTAATGTGGTTATGCTATATACAATTATACATAGGTTACTAGGTTACTACACTTACTAGGTTACTAGCAGGTTACTAGCAGGTTATTAGGTTACTAGGTTACTAGGTTACTATGGTTACTATGGTTACTAGGTTACTAGGTTACTAGGTTACTAGGCCAGGTTACTATGGTTACTAGGTTACTAGGTTACTAGGTTACTAGGTTACTTAATACTTACTACCCGCAGGTTACTAGCTCACACTGATGAAGGACCAAGCTGGTGGAAAGTGACCTTCATGCTGAGGTATAATATAAAGCAGATCATAATTCACACCAGCAACAATGAGAACGCTAACATAGCCCTCAAACATACTACTTGGATGCAAAACGCTAAAATCGTCCTGGGTAAGGAATGCGAATATTTGTATACCTTACAAGACATATTTATAACGTACGAAATGTGGCGGTTTTCCGAAAATTTCGCCATATTTTCGGACCGCCAAAATTTCGGTCGTCGTAATAGAATCCGTCGCATTATCTTTTAGCTTATTTCAATGACTGTGCCTTCACTGCTTTATTTTGTTTCTAAAAAGTAATATCAAGTAAAATAAATAAATAAATTCTGGCATCTTGGGACAAATTATCACCACACCAATGACGAATTGAATGTCAAGCAATACAGTTTAAATTTGCATTAAAATACACGTATGTGCTAACATGAAAGTCTTACAGTCTTAATACGGACTAAGTTTGAACATGATTTTACCGAATTTCAGAAATTTCCTTACTGCTTACTGTCACAAAAATGATGAAAAATACCCTTATTTTCTGTGACGTCCGAAATTTGACGGTTTTTGTTCAATTTCGCCATATTTTCGGACCGCCAAAATTTCGGTCGTCGCAAATTGGTCCGCCACAAAAAAGTCTTGTAAGGTACTTAACTTCAACATAAACATATTTAAAACAAAACCAGGTCACAACGTGCTAATACTCTGGTAGTATACTGTCCTGCTACCTATACCAGGTAGGTATAGGTTTAGTTGAGTATAAAGACCTAGAGATCAATAATCATAATATCCGCAGATTCAGTAGAAGTGGGAACCCTAGAACTAGAAGACAGTAAACATGAGTACCTGTTCCCTGTCTACAAGTTCGGAAGTGAAGTTGAAATCAAGTCTGAAGGAGGCAGTCCGGTGGTTTTAGCGGAGGTGGAAGTGACCTCAGGTGATTGCACGTGCGGTGATTGCACGTGCGGTGATTGCACGTGCGGTGATTGCACGTGCGGTGATTGCACGTGCGGTGATTGCACGTGCGGTGATTGCACGTGCAAATGGTATACCAGTAATCAGTATATATATGCATATTATGTATATGCATATTATACATTTATCACATGCCTTCTCATGCGATATCAAAACTTTCGCCCACGAAGCTTGCCGAGTTAGCGAAAGTTTCGATATTTCCCGATGCTTGCCGAGGGTTATATCGACATTTTCAATCACGAGGCTTGCCGAGTTTTGAAAATGTTGATATCGCATGAGAAGGCATGTGATTAATGTTTTATCACACTTTCTTTGGAGCCAAATTTGGCCGGGAAAGCAGAATTTGATCAAACGTTAGTTATAAATCTCACCAAAGCAAACTAGACAATATGTCGAACTTATAATTTATGTTTATAATGTCCAAGCTATATATACTTATAGCTCTCGATGAGTTAGTATTTCAGATATCGAAGATACAATACGTACAATTAAGATCTCACGTGCTCATCACTTTTATGACACAGTGAATGCTGTATGCCGCGCCCAATTTGCGTCTAGAATATTCCGCCACGAGCGCGTTTGATACGTAATTATTACATCCTGCAAATCAATCGATGTTTGGTGATTCTAATACTTTATTTCTATTAGATATTTTTGGAGTCATTAAAACTGTAGATGTATGATGTATAGAACATCCGTTTAAGCGTTGATTATACATCACAGTCCTTATCGTATAATCTGTATCTGCGATAAGGTGAAAGTATTTCCTAGTTCTTGTATTTAAATAGAGTTGTGGAGCTATAATTAGTGTCTATAATCTATCAGTCCACATTATACACCACACGCCCTAATTCACATCAAAAATGTGATCGTCCGTTTTGATTCTTGACTGTCTGTTATTTCAGAATGATTTAATCAATGCAACTTGTAATCGTTGACTTAAAATTTTATCGAGTATAGTAGCTACTTAGTTCTTAGTCAGTATTCATCTTTACTTGCCATTATTTGCCATTATTTGGAGCCAAATTTGGCCGGGAAAGCAGAATTTGATCAAACGTTAGTTATAAATCTCGCCAAAGCAAACTAGACATGTCGAACTTATTTATGTTTATAATGTCCAAGCTATATATAGCTCTCGATCATGAGTTAGTATTTCAGATATCGAAGATACAATACGTACAATTAAGATCTCACGTGCTCATCACATTTATGACACAGTGAATGCTGTATGCCGCGCCCAATTTGCTTTATACAGATAATTGATACGTAGTGCATTGAATATTAATATATTTATCGAGCATGGGACTTGTACTTATTGGCGTTTAGAATATTCCGCCACGAGCGCGTTTGATACGTAATTATTACATCCTGCAAATCAATCGATGTTTGGTGATTCTAATACTTTATTTCTATTAGATATTTTTGAAGTCATTAAAACTGTAGATGTATGATGTATAGAACATCCGTTTAAGCGTTGATTATACATCACAGTCCTTATCGTATAATCTGTATCTGCGATAAGGTGAAAGAATTTCCTAGTTCTTGTATTTGAATAGAGCTGTGGGCTATTTATCAGTCCACATTATACACTACACACCCTAATTTACATGAACAATATCATCGTCCGTCTTGATTCTTGATTGTCTGTTATTTCAGAATGATTTAATCAATGCAACTTGTAATCGTTGACTTAGAATTTTATCGAGTATAGTAGCTACTTAGTTCTTAGTCAGTATTCATCTTTACTTGCCATTATTTGCCATTATCTGCTTCGCTAGAAATCATCTGAACTGGAAATTATCGGAACAGTTGTAATAATTAAATGTATCTCTTCAACATTTTAGAACGCAGTACTCCACCAGCCTATAACCACGCTGGTCATGGCCAGGTAGTTCACCCGTACTGTTACCAATATTGAATTGGTCTAAAGAATGGCAGCACATTAATCATCAGACCTGTTTGCCCCAGTGCCCAGACTGATTTATAACCAGATTAGCTGATTAAGTTACGTCATTCGTCCCTTGATATATTTATATAGATAATATATTTTATAGGATGTTTTTATTGCACTTATTTGCACTAACTAAAATTTAAACTGGTCCTGGGATAGAATTTTCGCTCTTTATTGTACAGAATCTATAAATCTCTTTATCAGTCTGTTTATAGATCAGCCACGAATTTCGCAAGCTAATCTAGGCGAAACCGGTTTGGAAAAGCCAAGTATAATTTCTGCACAATTTCTATATCGAATATGGCTCAAAGAAGGGATCAGAGGGGGTTAAAATTGAGGTCTGAAATGGCTGAAATCTGGCTTTGTTTTGTGTGTTTTCTTCGTTCGAATTAATCAAACATCGTTTAGTGTTTACTGTTTTTTGTGAGGGTGACTGTAGTTTGTTCTGACACTTCCTTTTTAATTTCAAGTAAGCGATTAAGGAAATTAATTAGCCTGATTGATTGTATCGCTGACAAGTACCAAAACTTTGTGCAACTTTCAAGTCTGCTTGTAAACTTTGATCTCGTTTTCAGTAACCTTAAGTCATTTAAAGCTCGTACAAGCCAGGGAGTTTTTACTTAGTTTCATCATCCGAAGCCTAATTAGACTTTGAACTATGAAGTGCAGTAAAAAAGGAACAGCTTGAAAAAGTTTTACAACAAAAAATTGTATTTTGCTTGACACATCTCAAACGCAAGGAAATATTTTTAAAACAAAGTATAAATGTAAATTTTTCCTAATCCTGGAAAGTTTATCTGATCATTGCATTTACGGTCATATACTACATCAGGTTGTTGATTTAAATCTTTATTTAAATCAGTACCTCACAGTAGTAGAACAGTTGTTGAGAGTGGGCTCCTTGTTCCTATGGGAATATCGGGCTCTCTCTGAGCAACTGATTGATATTTCATGCCCCCCGGTGAGAGCCAGTGCTCCCCACCGGGGCATGTAATATCAATTCTGGTTTCCTGCCAAATTTGGCTCGAAAATGTGATAATATAAAGTATGGTGATGAAAATGATTATTCGCCGGTTTTGCTTTGAAGAATCTTTTCTTGCTGCCTTCTCATGATATATTTAACAGTTCCAGTAGTACCCGAGGGGCTATACTCAACAGAGAGGGCTGGCTGCTGGAAATCCCATGCTACACCGAGTATTGAGAAGCAGCACCCAGGACTAATACAAAGTCCACACACTTTGAGAACAGACCCTATCAAGAAGTGTGAAGTTGCAGCACTCGCCTTAGGTAATCTGACACATAATCCGACACGTGATGCCCATATTAGGTAATCTGGCATGTGATGCCCATATTAGGTAATCTGGCACGTGATGCCCATATTAGGTAATCTGGCACGTGACGCCCATATTAAGTAATCTAACCTATTGAGTGATTTCTTTACAGGGTTTAGAGCATTTGCTTTAAAGAAAGATGGGTTGTGTTTGGGCTCCCATACAGCAATACAGGACTTTAAAAAGAGCGGACCTTCAGAAGACTGTGGAACTGACGGGACGGGAGGGGAACTCGGTAACGAGGTCTACATAGTTACCACAGGTAACTGGTACAGAGTTAATTATCTTACAGTTTCTTTCAATGCTTTCTAACTTTAGCAAACACTATCAATAATGATAGGTAGAGGAAGGGGGTGTCAATGATAATATGAGCTCTTATAGAAAGGGGACCGGGGGGCTGCAACCCCCAGATATACCTCTTTCAACCTTTTTATCCTATATATCTCTTAGTTAGAACCATTACCTTCAGATTGGATAGCAGTGGACAACACCTGGATACCCTACTCCATTTCAGCTGCCCCCTTGCAGCTCAGGACTAGTTCTAAAGTGGGAAGTGGTCACCAAATAGTGATTAAGTTTCAGGGAGCTGGTAACGAGTTAGGATTTCAACTACACTTCGCTGATCCTCCTTATTATAAAATAGGCGCCTGCTTTGATGACCAAACCTTTACCATGCCCGAGGGACACGATCACATTTGGACAATTCAAAAAGAAGAAGATTCGCTCCTTCTTGAATGCGATGGGGTGACAATACTTGATTACAAGTTCTCCGAGTCAACCTGGGTTAACTGCGAGGGAAGTGCCAGGATACTAGAGGCCTTTAAAGTCCGTTCAGAGGACAACGCCATTAGCCATTACAGAGCTGACCCAGGCAGTAAGTTGTAGCAGGTAGCTAGAAGTGAGCTAGAAGTGAGCTGGAAGTGCTAGTTTTATTTAGAGCTGTAAGTGCTAATTTTATTTAGAGCTGTATTCAGTAAGCAGATCTGAGTTAATTAATCAAGTAATCTATCAACTAAATGGAAATGTGACAAGAATCAGACAGGAGCCCCTGCTATCCTACTGTATAGTAGGATAGCAGTACTCATGTCTCAATATCTCACCTTATACTCAGTGTGCCTACAACTCCCACCCAACTGGAGAACAGTATCCCCGGACCTGCCTGTCCTGCACGGAACCACACTGACAGTGTCCTGTGCAGATCCCGCATACCAGCTCAGTGGCAGTAGCGTTGTCACGTGCAACACTCGCTCCCTCTCAGGGTTCAGCTTCCTCTCTCAACCCACTTGTGAGAAACCAGGTACTTTCTCTTTCTCTTTGTTATTATGTAACAGGATTCAAGATTTGTACTGAATTCTGTGGGCACTGAATTCAGTACAAATCAGATCCAACTATGATTTTATAGATTATCCAAACCTTTGTTCTTCTTCTATAATTCTACATAACTTTGTGAGTTCTATAACAAACTTGAGGGATCTAGTCAGGTACTAACCTAAGCAAGCAAGTAAGAGACCCAGGTATGTCGGGGAGGGGTTGAGGGGTCTAGTCAGGTACTAACCTAAGCAAGCAAGTAAGAGACCCAGGTATGGCGGGGAGGGGTTGAGGGGTCTAGTCAGGTACTCCGGATGGTATTGGACTCCTACAAAGTAAGGGTGATCAGGTCCGGACAAGTCGAACGCTTCCATCCTCGTCCCGTCCTCGTTAGCAGCTACGAACCGCATTCCTGCCTTCGTCAGCTGTTTTACGTAGTCAGGATTAACTTCGTACCTGAATTAAAGTAGTGTAATCCAATACTACTAATTAACTACTCTTACATTTTATCTTCTTTTTAGAGAGATTATACAAATATAAATGTTAAATGTTTAACCATTTAAAGCAGTTTAAAAACCTCGTTACCAACACAAGACGAGAGATTTTCTGAATTGTGACAGAAGATGCCACATTGTATTCTTAACTTCTTTTATAGGGATTTTATAATTTGATATAGAAAATATGCCTAGAGAAGTAAAGAAGATAAAGAAAAGTATATGTTAAATAGGCCGGAAACGTGTACCAACCTGTGCCGATGTCGTTCCTTGGACACGTCTTTGTTCCCGTAGAGGTTCTTGAGTTTGCACTCCTGAGTGAAGTTGAAGCTCCGTGAGCCAAGTAACATGGTTCCTCCGAGCTGCCCTTGATTGTGTTCAGGCATGTCTATAACTACCACGTTATCTGCGAGATGGAGTTAGTCACGTGTTATCTGCAAGTTTTAGATTAACGTATCTCATAATATGGTATCACTTCATTTAAAAAAATTGGATTATATACATCGAGCACCAGTTCAAAATAATTATCTATTTATTATAAATCTAGTAAAAAATATTGAAGAGAAGAATTCTTACTGGATACTTCAGGACTCTCGCCACTTTTAGCGTCCGTCAAACCGACCACGTTCCTCGCGAACTCGATCACAGCCAACTGGAAACCCAAACATACCGCCAACATAGGAATCTGAGGAGTGTTAGATGTGAACGCTCCTTATATGGGCACCACGTGCCTCTTCTATACATTTGCTGGTGAACACATCAGCAAATGGTAGGAATTTGAAATGGATAGGGTGTGTGAGGCCGAAGAGGGTGTGTGCTATATTCTACAGTAAATACCTTTTTCTCTCTGCACCAGCGTATAGCGCTCATTTTGCCGATAGTGCCGCGATGACCGAACCCACCAGGAACAATGACCCCCTTAGCGCTACAGAGCTGATGCCAGGCGGCGTGGTACCGGGTGGGGTCCGCGCTCTGCACTTCCTCCTGGAGACAGATATTCAGTCAGCTTACATTGTACATTGTACATTGTACATTGTACATTGTACATTGTACATTGTACATTGTACGTTGTACATTGTCTTCTATCGTGTGGTTTTCATTTCAGGGGATATTAACGCCTTGGGTTAAGAATTTCGATGTTCGACAAAACTTAGCTTTTTGTCTACTTAAAACTTTAATGGTTTACTAAAAATATATTCTTGTGTTAGAGAAGGGTTAAAAGAGAGACGTAAGCCAAACCTCTAGGTCGTCTGACTCCACGAGACTGAGCTTTAGTTTGTGGTTGAGGAAGAGTGAGGCATGCTCGAGAGCGTTTATCACGCTTTTATACGCGTCATCCAATTTAGTGTACTTTCCAACAAGACAAATGTTAACCTAGAGATTATTTTAGTGGTAAAATACAGCCAGATTTCTGTAAGTAGCAATTTGACGGGATGCTACCACGTGTATTGGTACAGTAAAATGTTCACTAAGCGGCTATTGTAACCATGGTAACACTAACCGGCTGATATATCCTGTCGTAAGTTTCAGCTAGATCGTGCCATTTCCTCATAAGTCGGACTTTACCACGTGGCTTGATATCCAGCTGTACTTTTATCAACTTTATCATGCCTTCTAACAGTATCGGCACTCTGAATAAGCACTGATCATAACACAGTAATATAAAGTAACACAAAGTAAGTAAACTGAGCACAACACGAGTTGTGACTGATATCAGGTGATATTACCAGTCAGAGATGACTAAATGATATTCACTTAGTAAGCAAGCAAATTACTCAACTTTAACTACTTATAGTATGTTCTCATGAACAGAACCAGATAAAAGTTGTTTAATTTTGCACTTTGGGCAGAATATAAACATAATTAGCTTGTCAGCGAGGGTTGATTTCTATATCAGCCGTCCAACAGTCACTGTGAATGTTACCTGTAAAGATTAGACACGTCGTGAACGTTAATGACATTGACTTCGGGAACGTGGCAGAACAATGATATCTTGGATCTGACTGAGTCTGAGATGGGTCTCTTGCTGCGACACGCTATAAAGTCCGGTGCTAGACCCAGTGCTCGGAGTTCCCGAACGTTCTGTTGAAAGTAGAGTGTTCAGATGGTTAGCACGGCCTAACTTAGCTGTTTGTTACTTAATGCGAATGGTTTATCAACTTGTTAGTTGTTACAGAAAGATCAGGAAATTGCAAGTTGGTTACCAGAAGTCTTCATTGTAGAATGCTAAAATTCACAAAGCTTTGTTTAGCGAATCTTTAATACCAGGATTTCAAAGGACGAGTAAAGATATTACGTGTTGAGTTGGTTTCGTTTTCTGTTCACCACCGCTAGTTTCCACCACCAAGCTAACGTGTACCAAACAGAAGTTGTCCCGACCCACTTTGAACTGGAACTGACGGAATGCTTCCACAAACTGCATGCCTGAGGAACGTTTCAATTTGATATGGCGAAGTTGAATGTGATATATTAGATATATCGTGAAGTGTGAAGAGTAAACTCATCATTACATAGGGCGGGACGTTCAGTTCGCAAATATAATGCCACGCTATAAAACAGAACGCGCAGCACGGTGCGCGCCACATTTATGGTTAGCCAATTTGTTTGTTATGCATTGTTGTCCTCGCGCGCTACAAAAGCTAAATCCTCACGGTATCAGGTATGCCTCAGAAGGACTTTCTGTTCCAAAGAAAAAGTTCGAAAATCGAGTGTTTTAGTCAATAACTTAGAATATATTTTTGATTTTCTCAAGAACTGACTGATAGATTTTCTTTAAACTTTCCAGATAGTTACATGGCTATAAGACGGATAATATGTGCGAATTTGGGCGAATTTCTATGTGCCAAACTAGAAATATGATTTCAAACACAAGAAAATATCTCAAATTGGCGATCTGAATGATAGAATTTTTTTGACTGACTACAAGATTTTTTTCAAACTTTCAACATATTAAGATGGGTGTAAGCAAGTTTGGATGAATTTCTATGTTCCAAATTCAAGATATCACGCCAAACGCTAGTACATCAGCTGCATTCACTGTCCTTAAACCTGTCCATATTTCATATTAGAGATTAAAGCCTGCCAGCGAAAGCCTATTAGTTTAGAAAAGCGACCTTTTCCTTAAAGACAATTGTGCAGTATGAGCGAAGCAATTGTTGTCAGTTGCAATTTGTACAATAAGTTCCAATTGTTAGAAGCTGTACACACTATTAATTATTACAATAGTATAGTATAAATTACTGTATGTTTACTAAAACATTATTCTTAATCCGCCAATACATTAGCTGCAATACATTAACTTACGTTACTCGGCAGTCAAGTTAAAGAACTAGGTTAATTTTAAGAATATGATATTATCTCCTAATATCCACACACAACTTCAAGTGGCAGTGAAAACAACCAAAATCAGAGTCCTAAGTTTGAGGTTCACATGTTTAAGAGGATTTTATAAAAGATACTTACAGCTGACCACTAAATGCGGACCAGAAATACTAAAACTTACAGATCAAGATTCAAGTACCAACAATTGATTATTGATGAGTACAGTTTGTTCAATCAAACTAGATTATATAAGATTACGGAGAGTGTACAAACTATTAAAAAGCAGGGTAACAACAAACTGACTACTACTGACCCTCAATATCCCCGATAGTACCGCCCAGCTCGATAACACACACATCTGGAGTTTTTCCAGTTTCACTAACAGGGATCTGGGCTACTCGCTCCACCCAGTCCATTATAGTGTCTGTCACGTGGGGTACTACCTGCACTGTCTTACCCAGGAAGTCTCCTCGCCTCTCTCGTGATATCACCTGTATAATAGGTATCTTATTAATTAGTAATTAATTAATTAACTCTCAACTGTAAATTGAATGATTGGTATATTTCAACAAAGTATATACATATGATGATGCAACCAGTTAAAACAAAACTAACGAATAGAGACATCAAGGTAATTTAAAATAGCTAGTTAAACTAACGTTTTGGTATATCTTCCCTGTAGTAATATTGTTATCTCGATGGAGAGTGATGTCTAGAAATCTCTCGTAGTTCCCCAAATCTAAATCCACCTGAATGATGGAATCATACATTGTATCCATCATTACTGCGTTCATTTTCTCAAACTCCGTTGATGATGTTTTTAAATGTAAGGCTGGTCAAAATGTTAAGCTTATCGCTTAGATCTCGATACTAAATATTACAAGGCTTATCACCCAAATTAAAACAATAGGGACAGGGAATTGGCACAAATACGTTTTCCGGCTAGTAAACAAATACGTTGCCCGGCTAGTAAACAAATACGTTGTCCGGCTAGTAAACAAATACGTTGTCCGGCTAGTAAACAAATACGTTGTCCGGCTAGTAAACAAATACGTTGCCCGGCTAGTAAACAAATACGTTGTCCGGCTAGTAAACAAATACGTTGTCCGGTTAGTAAACAAATACGTTGCCCGGCTAGTAAACAAATACGTTGTCCGGCTAGTAAACAAATACGTTGTCCGGCTAGTAAACAAATACGTTGTCCGGCTAGTAAACAAATGCGTTGTCCGGTTAGTAAACAAATGCGTTGCCCGGCTAGTAAACAAATGCGTTGCCCGGCTAGTAAACAAATACGTTGTCCGGCTAGTAAACAAATACGTTGTCCGGCTAGTAAACAAATACGTTGTCCGGCTAGTAAACAAATACGTTGTCCGGTTAGTAAACAAATACGTTGCCCGGCTAGTAAACAAATACGTTGTCCGGCTAGTAAACAAATACGTTGTCCGGCTAGTAAACAAATACGTTGTCCGGCTAGTAAACAAATACGTTGTCCGGCTAGTAAACAAATACGTTGTCCGGCTAGTAAACAAATACGTTTTCCGGCTAGTAAACAAATACGTTTTCCGGCTAGTAAACAAATACGTTGTCCGGCTAGTAAACAAATACGTTGTCCGGCTAGTAAACAAATACGTTTTCCGGCTAGTAAACAAATACGTTGTCTGGCTGCAAACAAATACGTTGTCCGGCTAGTAAACAAATACGTTGTCCGGCTAGTAAATAAATACGTTGTCCGGCTAGTAAACAAATACGTTGTCTGGCTAGTAAACAAATACGTTTTCCGGCTAGTAAACAAATACGTTGTCCGGCTGCAAACAAATATGTTGTCCGGCTAGTAGAATATTGTTTTCCGGCTAGTAAACAAATACGTTGCTGGTGCTAGAAAACAGATACGTTGTCCGGCTGCAAACAATTATGTTGTCCGGCTAGTAGAATATTGTTTTCCGGCTAGTAAACAAATACGTTGCTGGTGCTAGAAAACAAATACGTTGTCCGGCTAGTAAACAAATACGTTGTCCGGCTAGTAAACAAATACGTTTTCCGGCTAGTAAACAAATACGTTGTCCGGCTAGTAAACAAATACGTTGTCCGGCTAGTAAACAAATACGTTGTCCGGCTAGTAAACAAATACGTTTTCCGGCTAGTAAACAAATACGTTGTTCGGCTAGTAAACAAATACGTTGTCCGGCTAGTATACAAATACGTTGTCCGGCTAGTAGAATATTGTTTTCCGGCTAGTAAACAAATACGTTGTCCGGCTAGTAAACAAATACGTTGTCCGGCTAGTAAACAAATACGTTGCCCGGCTAGTAAACAAATATGTTGTCCGGCTAGTAAACAAATACGTTTTCCGGCTAGTAAACAAATACGTTGTCCGGCTGCAAACAAATATGTTGTCCGGCTAGTAAAATATTGTTTTCCGGCTAGTAAACAAATACGTTGTCCGGCTAGTAAACAAATACGTTTTCCGGCTAGTAAAAAAATACGTTGTCCGGCTGCAAACAAATATGTTGTCCGGCTAGTAGAATATTGTTTTCCGGCTAGTAAACAAATACGTTGCTGGTGCTAGAAAACAGATATGTTGTCCGGCTAGTAGAATATTGTTTTCCGGCTAGTAAACAAATACGTTGCTGGTGCTAGAAAACAGACAGTCCTTACCTCACCCCCATCGTCCAGGACAAACACTTCACCATGCTCGTAAGGGTTAAAAGTTCCTGCGTCTATGTTTAAGTAGGGGTCTATCTTTATTGACGTTACTGTTAATCCGCTGCATTTTAACACAGTACCTGGTTAAACGGGATAATTGAGGGGGAGAGAGAAAGAGGCATTAATTGACTCAGTCACTCAGTTAGACTCAAAACACACAGAATATTTAAAGCTGCTAGCATCTAATGGAACTGTAAAATGACTGACCGATACTAGAAGAAATAACTCCTTTTCCTATTCCGCTGAACACTCCCCCTGTCACCAGAATGTATTTCATTGTCCCCTAGTGCTAGTGTACTCCATTAGTAAATACAGTTGATACTTTCAACTAGTGCAAGTGTACTCCATTAGTAAATACAGTTGATACTTTCAACTAGTGCAAGTGTACTCCATTAGTAAATACAGTTGATACTTTCAACTAGTGCAAGTGTACTCCATTAGTAAATACAGTTGATACTTTCAACTAGTGCAAGTGTACTCCATTAGTAAATACAGTTGATACTTTCAACTAGTGCAAGTGTACTCCATTAGTAAATACAGTTGATACTTTCAATTAGTGCAAGTGTACTCCATTAGTAAATACAGTTGATACTTTCAACTAGTGCAAGTGTACTCCATTAGTAAATACAGTTGATACTTTCAACTTCTAGAATAAAATAATATACTTTACAGTAATCAAGGATTAAGTTAAGCGGTTTGCCTGAGCCCTGATTCAGCATGGACCTAAAGTGCTTATGACATAATGCAGCTGTCATTTGAAAACAATCCCCTTCAACAAATTTAATCCAGTGTTCTCTCGGCCCACAGGTTCCTCCTATTAAAAAATTTGATTTTGGTTAAAAATCTACCTATTATATGTACTAGCAGGATCCTGTCTAACCCTAAAGCGGTGTCAAGACTCGAGAGACTAAAATAATTATTACATATTTAATTCGTGTTTTTGACACCATTTGGGAGTCCAAATTTTGGGCACTAAAATTCTTATTCCTTGGCCAATTTTTTATTTTTTCATGCTGATTCGAAGGCCATTAAAGCATTTGACCCAGTCAAAAACATTTCAGTTGTATATCTTGTGCGGTTTTTGTGGGAAGTCGCGTTAAAGTTGATGCCGTGGTGTCAGTAAAATGGCACGGATCCATATATATATATATATTTTATATATCGTCTCGCTTTATATATAGTAAGATTTGACCTAATATTTAGTGTATTACAGGTAAAATTAATTTAGGTAGATATTAAGAATTTGGTAAATTTCTTAATATGACTATTTCCATTACTGAGACGTTTTTAATATTTAATTTAGGAGGGTTTTTGAAATTTGTATAGGACTGGTTCACAGTGTGAACAGATTCCAGATCTATTATATATTTTTTAACTGATATTTAATAAATGATTAAAAGAACCAATTTTAAAGTTGCCATACTGCAGCCTTTATACTGCATACCCACTATGCTCACTTAAAAACAACTCTAAATCAGTAGGCTGTCACTCTAATAATGCACCACACCGCTACATCCACTCCTAATACAGGGTGGGCCAAAAGTCAGTGGGCATACGTTGGCCTTAATAGCTCCGCCGTGTTTCATATTTGAGAGCTGTTGCTTTGCAGATGGCATACTGTACTTACTGGTTCGAGGATTCCGTCGTCAAAATTTGAGAATTCGAATACTTTAGACCACGCCCATTCAATATTAAAACACCTATATTGCTTTCTCTTAACATACTGAACGCCTAATTTTTTTCAGAGACAGTAGATTATTAAATGTTGCATATGATCTGAAAACATGAGGCAAAACGGATTAGAAATGACGAAGTTATCAAGCATTTTCTGTATCTCGTTAACAAAATTGACTGGGTGATTATGTGACACCGTGACACGACACCTTAATTGGGCACCCTTAACAATTCCCATAATGTTTAACGGGGTGGTTAACGGGCTCACCTAATCGCGTGATTAGGTAAACCATTCACCTGATCACACGTAATGAATAAACTCGTTATGCTTCATATCTCGGTCATCTGAGAAGCTTAAGTTCTAATTTTTTCAGGACAATCGTAATTCAAATGGCTAAACACAATTCAATAAAATTTAGCTCGATCCGACTATCCAAACTATCAAATAAATGCAAAAATGAACCTTCATTTGAAACAAATGAACTCGAATATTCTTCGATTTAACAAATTCCTCGAACCAGTGATAGTGGTAAGTCATACCAGAAAGAATTATTTCAATTGGGCACTCAGTGACTGAGCTATTAAGGCCAACGTATGCCCACTGACTTTTGGCCCACCCTGTAGTTATACAATAAATTCTTCAATCCTAATTTTGTATCGTGATGGAGACCGGTGGGCGGTGTCCATACAAAACTTTTACTAGGTTGCCGTTTGGTGTGAGCAATAGCGAACAGCACGCACACTCCTTTGCCCCGTCAACTTATATCTAATCTATTCAAAGAGTGACAGCCATACAAAACATTGAATTAGGATTCCTTTAAATATCAAATCGATTTATTTTAAACTTGTTTATTCTGTAATAAATGGCATAAAATTGAAATTTTTGTTTAACTGAAATTTTTGTTTAACTGACTGAAAAATAATGCCATGTGGAAGTAACTTCGATCAATGTATTTTTAAACGCTGATCCCGAATAAGCCCTGAGGAATTATGGGCAGAAAAGTATTTCTTCCTGTCATCACTGCTCAGGTAATGGATATTATGTGTTTATTGTAATCAATTTAATATTGTCGTTTAAAATGGAATCTTATCTTTTTTTCCAGTTGTCAAATCTATTATTTATAGATGTGGATTCTCGTGGGGAGATGAGGTACATTTGTTTACTTTTAAAATAGTAAGTACCTGCTTAGCAGGATCAAGAGGTGATGCACATTTTGTATTATGGAATGCTTGTAACGCTTGTAACTCCTTCTTGTAAGGTCCCGAATTATTTTCTGAACGAAAGTTCAGAAATAACCGAGAAATCGACCTTCTCAAGTTGAGGCAATCAGCTGACGCGCGGCTTTTATGGTTATATATGATATGTTTAATCTGTAATAAAGATCAAAATTCAAATTTTTATTCCTTTTTTTAAAAATTTGTATTCCTTCTTATCAACTCATTTTGATGACTGTTTCTGACCTAAAATTGCACGAAAAATCGATTTAACTAGGTTTCTGAAACTATAAACACTTCTTTATCCCTCGAAATTGATATTTTGTAGTTAATACGAGCAACAAGCAACATATATATTTGGATCCTTCGGTTCTGCTCATGACCTAGAGCCTAGGGAGTTAAGCTGAAACCGAAAGATCAAGGCAATTGTCACCTTAACTGATCGAACAGGTACTAACACAATTTTCAAAGAGAAATGTTCGTTTTAATATGTTTGCCGCAGCTTTGCAAAGAGCACGAAACTGAGTACAAAAACACACAGCAGGTAAGCAACTCATTTTGGTGACTGTTCCACACCTAAAATTACACGAGAAATTGATTTAAGTTGGTTTTACAGCCCAACAACACTTCCTTATCCCTCAAAATTCATGTTTTATTCAAACGAAGAACATTTTGATCCTGCAACAAGGAGGTCGTCTCATTAACAAATCGAACGGGTACTATCACAATTTTCAAAGCAGAGCACGATAGCAAAGTTAAATGAAACACAATGAAGGTAGGTTACCAACACCACATAACAAGAAGGAGTTACAAGCGTTCCATAATACAAAATGTGCATCACCTCTTGATCCTGCTGAGCATGTACTTGCTATTAAAAGTAAACAAATGCACCTCACCTCCCCACGAGAATCCACATCTACGGTGTGGCATAATAGCATCACATTCCTCGTCATCCTTTATTATAACTCTTCTATATCCTTGTCCTCATCATCCACTGCACTTCATTCACATCATCTACATCATCAATATCGTCACCGTGTCTTCATTGTTATGTTGGTAGTGCACCAAATTGCTTTCAAGCTCGTCAGCAGGGATCGCTTCTTGATAGTACTGTCCTTGATGGCCTCTCACAGCTATGAGTAAGGTCTTGAGCAATTCAAACCTTAAACGTTTAGCAACAACGAGGCTTTTGTCCTGGCCAGTCTTGGCTGCTAGGAGTTTTGTAACCCGCGCCGTTTAAGGAACATGGTATGGTTTCCTGGGGTCGATACATCCAGTGGTTGAGAATACTAAGCCGTTGCAGGCAGCAGCAAGATTTATTCGCGGATTTTCATCATTCATGGTAAGCGACACCCCAAAAGAAAACAATTTTTAATCACTTTCAAAACTTGTTTTGAAAATGATTAGTAATGTTAATGATTTTGAGGCATCGAGCAGACAATATTTAATAATATTACTAATTAAGAAATAATTCCCATAACAGCATCTTCATTTATTACTAATTACTCGATTTACAATCGAACGGAAGCCCTCGCGCTTGGCTCTTACTAAATCGCTCGCCCAAAAATTTCACGTGACTTTGGTTTTTTTGGTTTTGCAGCCGTACATTAACGGGTGATACTCGTAAAATATCTGTTCCATATATTGGACGAGTCCAACTCGGCGCGCGTCCTGGTAGGTTGTAAACCTACAAAGCCGTACAAAACGGTTTTACATAAACCCTAATCCCAACCCTAACCCTAACCATAACCCCGAAGCTATCCATAATCTTAACCACAACCCTAACCCTAACCCGAGCCCTAAATAATCGAATTCACGTTTTACTAGCCTGTCACGTGACCAAAACGGTTTTTGCCCATAACTCTCCAAGGAAGCATTTTAACTAGAGTGGCGGGTTTTTTTCGATTTTTTTCGAGGAAAATACCGTTGTAATGCTTATTTCGAGAAAATAAGGATGGCGGAAGTTTTTTCGAAAATGGACTTGACCCAGCAACAAAAATCGTTAATAAACAAACTAACAATTAACAACAATCCAGTGTGTTAGGGAGCCGCTCCAACTGTTTACTAATTGATCTTCCAAGCCTTAGGGGAACCCCGTTGTTCACGTGATCATGTATGAAAAAATGTACGACGACCGAAGCGGGAAGCCCCTTACTAAACCGGGCCGGCCTAATTGTCTATTTTCAATTTAATGAGGTTTCCGAGCTGCTATCTTGAGATAAATGGTCAGGTTCTACTAGTAGTAATACTACACTCACACTATATGTTATATCATATAATTATAAGTATAATACACTACACATTTAAACAGCTAACGCAGCCTAGTTTATCATGTTAGAATTATGTGGAAGATATATTAAATGCCAGAATATGCCAAAAGTTTACAACGAGAAAGATTGTAC